CTCTTTGTATTACACTAGAGTTTTCTAGAACTCCCTCCCAGTATGTATTGACATTACACAGAGTATCTGATTTATACAAATAGCATCTCTCTGAGGAAGAGCATGTTTCATCGCCCTCTCTATTGGAGATGGGAAATCTGATGCCCCAAATTAAATCCCATCCTCACCATGGTCACTTCAGCATACAGTAGATACTAAAAAAATATTGAATGAAGAGAGAGATTTCCAAATTTAAAATATAGCTGTCCTGCAAACCTGGAGATACTTCTGGAAATCTAGTTCCAGGAAATGACTGCAACCACCCAGTCAGTGCCAACTCACTAACAGTGCTAAAGGAACCAACCTTTTGAAGTTAGAAAAGACCCGATTGAGGCTTTACCTGAAACAGATTTAAAAGTTCAGGCAGTTTAAAAAAACAAAAAAAGAGATTTATTTATTTGAGTGAGAGAGAGAGAGAGACAAAGATAGCGACAGAGAGCATGAACAAAAAAAGCTAGCATGACTGGGGAGCTCAGCAGGGAGCCAAATGCAGGGCTCAATCCATGGACCCTCGGATCATGACCTAGCTGAAGGCAGATGCTTAACTGACTGAGCCACCCAGGTGCCCCAAGTTCAGGCAGTTTTAAACACAAAAATCTGGTTTTGTTATGAGGTAGGGTCAAGTTTCTAAAAGAAGTTTAAATAGCCTCTGATAGGTTCCCATCTGAAATTGTATCCGAGTGTGCTGGAACCTATCTGGGCATGATGCTTGCTTTCCCCTCTGGAAGCAGCATTTAAAGTAACTCTCATTGCCCAGTGTCACATGACGCGCCCGGCAGTTCCAGCTGAATCTGGTTTAAAATGCCTGTTCACAGGCTCCAGGAAGCCTAAGTCTTAGCACAGTCATGGCTGAGGCTCCAGAAAGCACTCTCCCCAAAAGGCATTGGAAGGAGAAATGGCCATCGTTTATCTGGGTTGTTGGAAAGCCCAAGGAGGGGGCGTAAGTGGGACGTTGATGGAGGACAGAGAGGGGAAACATTTTCCACTGCACTGAAGCAATTAGATGGCATTGTGCTGTAAACCAATGGGCTCTTCCTGCACCTAGGCGTCTGGAGAGAATGGGAAAGGGGGACTGGAAGAGCCTACTCCTTCCTGTAGACACTCTGAAATTCTGGTCCCAGCCCCTAAGGCTCCACTGTCACCTACTTGAGGCATTTTCCCTCTGAGATGGGGAAGCCCACCACTTTGCTCTCATTTAAAGAACAGATCTTGAATTAGGGGGGCAGTTTTCAAGACAGTGCTTTCAAAAACTTAAAGAATGAGATATTGTATGTAGACCTTTTAAAAATTCCCTGCAGGTTATGTGTTTTGATAGTATTTACTAAGGAATAGATGTACTTTTATTTGAATAAATCTAGTTATATCCAGTTTGTGATAGTAAAGAGTTCATTAAAAGGGAATGACATATAACTGTTACTTTTTACTTAGAATACCCCATCTATCTGAAAACTAGTATGTGTCATCTTATCTTTCTAATTAAAAAAGTATGCAATTTTAAATTCTTTGGTGTTTAAAAGAGTATGTTTTCCTTTGGCAAGAGCCTATTTTTAGCATTAACAAATAATAAAAACATACAAAACATGTCACTTCTCACCAAGATGACATTCAAAGCTGTTCCCCTGGCAAAGAAAAAAAAAGTTTTTTGCCGATAAACTAGGCTTTTCTTGGGATCCCTAGCTCTCTCTCCCAGAGATTCCTCACATCTCAGAGGCCCTTTATTGCCGGTACAATGTTATACACGTAGGAAATGGATGCATAGTTACCTAGGGTATTTTTTTTCCGTTTGTTTTCTCTTCCAGCATTTGATCACTGGCTGGTGAACTGTTTGGGCCCACAGAGATCTCTAGACCACCAGCTCATGTATTTGAAAGGCATCTGTTTATTTTGAAAATGCAAATGTGGCCTACCTCAAAGACTGACAGGCAAGAAATGACCCACTGAGCAAGGGGAGAGGTTTCCAATCTGGAGCCCTGTCCCTCCCTCTATCAAACCGAGATCACTCGCTGTCAAAACAACTTAAACAAGCTCCAGGAATCTGAGTGAAGGGCCCACAATTAAAATGAACAGGCCTGTCTGTGCGCGCGCACGCGCACGCCCGTGTGTGTGTGTGTGTGTGTGTGTGTGTGTGTGTGTAACTCCTTCCCTCTCTATTTCAGGAATTAACCAGGCAGATAATTTCTCACCTAGTTTAAAGTAATGATGAGATCAGTTACCAAAGGACTCTGCACCTTTGAAATGGTGGATCTCCATGGAGGGCTGCCTGGAGGAGGGCCCTATAACAGGGACACTGGCCTCTTACCAGCCGCAGCCCAGTCCTGGGGACAGATTCCCGGAGAAAGCCCAGGAAGGTTAATACCCTGACTTTGATCTCTGTCAAGGCATACCAGCAAGAATTAATTTACATTTCAGATGAAAAAGGTTGACAGCATGAAAAGGCATCTTGTTTCTGGTATGTGAACGTGCTGTAATAGATCGGGAATTCTGAAAGGAAGTTCTGAGGAAGCTAAAGGGATAAGCTGTGCGGCTGCTTTTATTGGGAAGGAGATGAAAGGAAAACAAATTTCCATATGCACTGCTCTGTAGCAACATGTAGGCCAAATGCTTCCTAAATTTCAAGGGCCGTTCTTTTAAAAATATATAACATATCTTAGCAACACCACTAAAGAAAAAGAAAGGCAATGGGCCAGAACTTGAAATACAAAGAAATGCATTCCATAGAATCTAAATTTCAAGTGAAATGATTTGTTGAAAAAAAAACATAAATGAAAGAGTAAGTTTTGAAAACAATCAGAAACAGTCCTACTAGGATAACCTCCCTAAGCCACTTCCTGTAGGGTTCCAAAGTAAAGGAACTGCTAGGTTTGGGGCTTGTTCTACTAAGAAACATCCTAGTGGTGGTAAGAAGAGCTTGTAATGAGAAGATTATGCTCTGGGAAGAACACCCCCCCACACCCCTGCCCAAACAGAAAAGTTGAGATGAACTGCTTTGCTTTTTAGATTAACAGAACCATGCTTTCCAATATAAAGATAAGGAGAACATTCTTCACGCAAAAGTAAACTGCCCATAAAATTGCAAATGCTGTTACCCTATCCAGGCATCTTTTCTGCTAGCACAATACCAGCACCTCAACTCACATCTGTGGTGTTGGGCTGAAGAGCAAAGAGACTGTCTGCTTTCGCTCTGGCTGCCACACTACTTCCAAGAGGGAGGGGTGGCATTAGTCCCACCCTCAATGTCCTCCTCTCCGCCCAAGCCCCTATGGACTCGGTTAATGGAAGTTCCTTATGCCACTTGATAAGTGGGAACACAAGCTGCTGGAGTAAAAAGAAAAGGGAGGGAGGAGGTACTTGCAAAGCTTAAAAAAAAAAAGAAACACCTTGAAGACATGTGTTCTCTCCAGTTTCACAAAGCAAGATTATCTTTCCATGGTACCTACCGCAAAGGTGCTCTACCGAAAAGATGCCATCACGGCTGGCCTAATATGATGACAAAGGAAACCTGTCTCTGTTTTCATGCATCTCTCACTTGGCAACAACAGAGTGCAAACAGGGAACCCTTTAAAGATCATTTTCAGAGAGGGAAAAGGAGATTTATAATCCTATATACCGGACTCAGTGGATCAACAATATATAACCCAAAGTTTATATTTTAAAACATATGTTGGGCTTTGGGCCAAACTGCAAGATCAGAAATCAGTCCAGGAGACTGTGGGGAGAGGGGTGTGTGCATGCGTGTGCGTGCGCCGTGTGGTGTGATGTGTGGAGGTGGGCAGGGAAGGATCAAATGCACTTTGAGTACTCTTTCTTAAGCTGCAACCAGAAGTGGATCCTTCTTCCATTGAACTCTTTGAAGTTGTAGAGCTTAGAATTCCTAGGGGATGGTGTTAAAACTTACACATTTTCATCTAAATGACATCCCTTCCTTCCAAATATTTTGGTCCTGAATGAAGATGTCAGGTCTCTACAGTGGCCAGAAGAGAGTTTTGAGAAGTGTTCCTGGAGCCCAGTTCTGACCGCCTCAAAAAGGTTGCAGCTGTTTTATTTGAGAGTTTGCTTCAAAGCAGCAGTTTCTGGAACCCTACCCCTCTTCAGGCTTGCAAAGTCACTGGACTGGCAAATGCTCTCTCACTCCGTCTCTACATTCTGGACTCTCTGAGCTGCAGGCACACTCTGGGGACTACTTCTTCCCAGGGCCTCACTTAGGCATATCTAGCTTCCAATGATGATGGGAACCCAGGCTGGCAGGCACCACAGATACTGCCATTTGCAGAAGAGCAGAGCCACAAGGAACCAGGAACAGGTCGGGTGAGGCAGGACCAGACCTTGAAGCACTCAGGAAGCCAGGCCCAAGCTGAGCACAGCTCAACTCCATGGGGCCCAGAGGACCACCTTAGCCACATACAGGTCGGTGTGTGGGGAATCCCATTTGCCTGGAAAGTCCCGGAGCTATTCTTATTTCTCTGATGCTGAACGATGAGTGTTGCCCATAATCGGAGAATTCCAACCTTCCAGACTTAACCAGACTTGGGCCTGCACTCTCCATTTCACAGATAACGGATATGTGACAAAAAGGAAAGGGATTTGTTCCATTGGCAGGATACGAAGTTGACTTTATCTGACTTGCCTGTGTTCAGATGCTGAGTCTGCTACTGACCAGCTGTGTGACTGTGGACAAGTTACTGTGCTTCTCTGTGCCGCAGTTGCCCTCTCTATAAACTCAGGGATATTAGAGCACTTACTGAGAGGCTCCTTACACAAGGATGGCAAGCAGCAAATGCACACTGTCAGCCTTATCATCATCACACCCGGGGTGTATTAGAACAAGCCCAAGAACCCCCACTAGAACTCACAACTCCAATTCCAGGGCTCCTGAATTATTCACCTCTCAGCTTTCTAAAATTGTATAAACTCAATCACAGAATATTTTCAAGTGGATGCTATGAAAATGATGTTTTAATTACCTGCTTGAATAGGAACCACAGACTCACTCCTTCTGTTGCTTATTTTCTTAAATTTCTTCCAAGCATCATATCCTCTCCAGGCTAAAAATATAAAACCATGTGCTAGGAATGACATTAATTTAAGAATGTGCCAGTGAATTGATATAAGCTGTTTTCCCTCCAATCTATTACCCTTCTTGTCCTCCCTCTTGCTTTCTCACTGAACAAAATAAGCAGCGAAACGTGAGCAATGATGGGGAAAAGGGGCCTCTCTGTACTCTTGGCTGGGTCTCCAAGATGCTTCTGAGAAGGAGTTATTTTTTTTCTGGCAGTGAGTTTCCAGAACACTCTGGATGCAACTTATGAATCACTGGGGACCTCTATCCCAGGTGAGGCAGTTCCCTGTCATTCTAATCCCTGGAGGAAGCTCTGTGTTCAGGACTTGGGAGAAGGGTGGTTTGTCGGGATGGTAGGAGAGAATGGAATAGCCTGACCAGTTTGATTGTTCTTGTTTGGGAGGAAGGTATGGACATGAAATTTGAAGGAGTGAAAAATGAAGAACGGAGTCAGAGCCTGGGGTGGCTCAGTAGGTAAACCGTTGTGCCTTTGGCTTAGGTCATGATCCCAGTATCCTGGAATCAAGCCCCGCATCGGACTCCCTGCTTAGCAGACAGTCTGCTTCTCCCTCTCCCTCGCACTCCTCCTGCTTGTGCTGTTAGATAAATAAATAAATAAACAAATAAATAAGAAGGGGGTCAAAGGGAATAATTAGTAGCACAACACCTGCATTTGGGAAGGTGAACCATGTCCCAAGAACTGTGCTTCAGGAGAAGAAACTATGCAACAGTAAGGCATAAGGCAAGGAAAATGGATGAGGAGGAGAGAAGAAATCTCTGGGGGTGTTCTGAGTCCTACAGACAGAGGATTGGGGCCTTAAGCTGCCCATCAGGAGCATGACCACCTTATCTTTCTGTCCCTCCCATTAGCATCACAGCTTTCCAATTGCTGAGTGCGGTCATGAAGTCCAGAGTGGACAATGGGAGTCTGGGTTATGAGAGTATGAAGGAAATTGTCCACTATGTTCAAAATCTGATGCTTTCCTAACCATTCATCAACAGCACAGAAGCTCAGATGCAGTTTGTAACACAAATGACCCCTACATGAGCAAAGAGACACTGAATGGGCTGGGCATATGAGAGAGCCTGGTAATTTGTTCCCTTGGTTTATAAGCTCTGTCTGTACTAGAAAGCCATTGGGAAAGGGCATTATAATCTGATGCTGAGAACTTGGTGATGGGCCTGAAATGTATATTACATCAGTCATCTGGAAGAAGGGGCACAGGTCGGTCTGTGTGCTTTGGGTTTTCCCTCTGCCCACTTCACATTACTTCTACTGAGCCACTGACCACAGTGTGTTGTGATGGCTTGTTTGCTCATGTGGAGGTCAGAGGGATTGAGGTCGTCTTGCTCATGGCTATATTCCCAGCATCTACCATAGGGCCTGTGATAAGGCACTCGATAAATATTTGCTAGAGCAAGGAAGAAAGGAAGGAAGAAGGAAAGGGAGGGTAGGAAAAAGAGAAGAAGCCACTAGAAAAGCAACAGGTGAGTGGCCCTAGCACTTGATGAAATGCCAAGATTCAGGACTATTTACCTGACTGGATGGCAATGGCCCCCTTCTCTCTCTTCTCTCTGATTCTTTTGTATCTCCTGGCTCCAAGCCACCCCTTGGCATACGCCTGCAGCACAACCACTCTGCCTATGACTTCTCGCAGCAGCAAATTTAACTGTTCGACATGATAGTATTTGAGAAAAACCTGAAATGAGATATTAGTTTTAGCATTATATATGGGTCTACTGCATAGTATTCTTATTCAAATTTAGTCTACTGCATAGTATTCTTAGTAAAAATATTAAAACCATTATCTACACAAAGTTTACAGCGATTTCTTTTATGCTAACATTACTGACTTCTTGGGAGCAAACACAATACCCCTTCTAAGGTTGAGCCAATCCTTGATTATTGATATAAATAGATGATGAGGTTAATGGGATTGAGGAGATCCCAAATGCTCTCCAAGTCTGCTTATAACTGCCAGGAGTTCTGTTTTCTCAGTTTGATTTCTATTATCTGCACAGCCTTTGATGGAGGCACTAACCAACAGAACTGATCCGTGGCCAGCAATGGACGTTCAGAAGGAGAATGACCTAAATGACCCACAGTGATGTAATTCCTGCTGAGGAACAACCATGTTGCTATCCACACGCAGGCTAAGATTGGCTTTGTACGGCAATTCAGAGCAGATCGTAAAAATCTGGGACACGGATGGGATGTTCCCCAAATGAAAAGCTACACACGAGACAACTAACCAGGGTGCACAGTAAAAAACACAACATGAGTCTAATGAAAAATGGACAAAACTGTAAAAGATACTCATTACTGTCATTAGTAAGATTTGTGTATTTCCATGAGGTGCTGGAATAAGCAACATTTAAAAAGGACATTTTTAAAAGAATCAAAGTTCTCATTCTAGAAATGCTAAGTGGTTCTCTCAAACTACATGCTGAACAGGAAACAAACCCTCCTCCTCTTGTCCAGAGGTCCGAGGACTCCTGACCCAAGACCAGCAAAGATCAGTGTCAGGTTGGGGTGTTGTCTGCTAAGCCACACAACTTATAAAGCCATTCATATCACTGACAAGAGACAAAGATACACCGTAGAGCATCACAGGTGGTAATCTGAACAAAAAAGAAAGAACTACCTTTGTTTTTCCCAGCACCCAGTGATCTAATCTGGATTTTTCCAAGATAGCAACACAGCTCTCTTTGCTAGCAAGAGGCATTTCATGTGCTTTGAATGCCAAGTAATAATACCTACGAAATAAAAGAGTAAAATAAAACATTTTTAGTTATCATTTGATTCTGTATAGTAGATATTCTCTGGACCCACTGCCATGCCTTGTTTTTTAATAGCAAATATTTCTTGAGCACCAATATTAGCATACTAGGTAGTGAAAGGTATACAATTTATGCTTATTAACTTGGATCTTACTTACTTTTATATTTTCTGTTATGGGTATTTCCCTTTTACTACTGCTTTATAATTCACGTTCAATGAATATTTGGCATCTCATGCAAAATCAAAGTATCAAAATCCTTCAAGAAAACTGAAATTTAGACAGCCCTTCTAGTGAAAGTCATCATTTTATGTGTTAGCATTGTTATAAAATAATTTGTAATCCCATTGTATAAATTTTGGCTCTGCTCTGAAAAGTCCCCTCTAGAGGAATCTGTAGATAGCAAAAGTGATCATAGTCTAATACCACTGAATCAGTCTGCTGAGCTGCATGTCGATTTCAAGGTACAGAGTAGGTATGGGTTTTTTGTCTTTTATTTTTTTTTGAAGATTTTATTTATTTATTTGAGAGAGAAAGAGAACACAAGTAGGGAGGAGGCGGCAGATCCCCCCTCCACCCCACAGTGAGCAGGAGCCCAATGGGGGACTCCATCCCCAAACCCTGGGATCATAACCCAAGCTGAAGGCAGACGCTTAACTGACTGAGCCACCCAGGTGCCTGGTATGTTTTTTTCATAAAGATTTTATTTATTCCAGAGGGGGGAGGAGAGTGGGGGATAGGGGATGAGGAGCAGAGGGAGAGGGACAAGCAGACTCCACACTGAGCATGGAGCCCAATGTTGAGCTCAATCTCAGGACCCTGAGATCCTGACCAGAGCTGAAACCAAGAGTCAGATACTTAACTGACTGAGCCACCCACACACCCCTGGAGTAGGTATGTAGGTATGTTTTTTGATATAATCACCAAAACCACATTTGTTTTCCTAAATTACTCATTTTAATGAATTTCCATACTTTCTGTATAGATTGAAAGACCACCACAAAAAGGGTTTTTCCCCCTCTCCTTTTTTTAAATTCTTTATTCTCCCTGTTAAAATACACACATACACAAACACACACACACACACACACACACACACACACACACAGTGGAGTAGATTACCCTTATAGAACAAACACCTTACCTTAGTTATTCTTTAAAAAACTTTCAAGGATCTATTCTCTGCTCTTTGCTGCCATCTATAATTAAATTCAACCCCTTGGAAGTTTAAAAATAAACCTAATTTCCGTGTCAAAGGCTTTTCCTGCCATTCCTCAGACAAGGCTGATCTGTTATTTTAGAATTATTGTACCTTTAAATGTAGAGCTGCTTTTACTTTTCAAAAAAATCACCTAAGTACAAAATATGACCCTTTTTCTTGCCAAATATTCCCTATCTTTCACTTTCTGGAAAACTAAACATACTTGATTAGCACTTCAGTCATTTCACTTTATCTTTGTGCCGTAAGACTGTTTTACAGGCTAGGATATAATGCTGAATTTGCCAGAAATGTTTGCATTCAGAGATCCTGGGAATGTTTTCAAGGCTTGGAGTCTGTTTCCAACGTCAGGGAGAAGGGATAGTGCTCTCACAGATCCCCTGAATGGCGGCCAGGACTGTGCTAGGTCATTTGGCCAAGCCCAGGAACCTGTTCACAGAAGATGCCTACTGGAGGTAGGGGGTGGGGGGACAACTGGGAGTCCGGCTTAGGCCTATCTGGGCTGTTTGTGCATTGGCACAGATTCTTCAGCCTCAGTTTCTCCAGGACTGTTGTTTCAGTCAGGGCTTCTCTGACCTGACTCTCGCTGAAGTAAAAAGACTGTGTTCTGGAGTACACCGGGATGGTGGGAATGGATGGCAAATCTCTATGTGTGAATGTTTTGGGAAAGCTGAAGTACAGATAGTTTAAGGTATAAAAGTCAGAGGTAAAACCAGGAATTCCTACGTTCTTTCTGTTAGGCCTGGTCATTTATAACATGAGCTCCCCTAGCTTTAATTAGCCCAGGCTCGATACTATTGATGATGAAGTATTTAAAGAGAATCTAATGAATGACCCGTCCTGTGCAAGATACAAGAGGAATGCAAGATATGTTCCAGCTCTCCAATCACGGATTTCTACTTGTTTTTCAGGCATCTCTAAATGGTTCCCAGCAATTTTTAATTTCTAAATAGGCAAGAATGAATTCTGAACTAACATAAATATTGGAGCTTAACTTTGATTTCTGATCCCTCAACCCAAATCTCTTAATTTATTATGATGATAATATTCACATTTGGCTTAGTTCAGAAAGAGATGGGTAACAATACTGCAAAGAAATGAAGGTTTCAAAAAGTACTGAAGAAACATGTAAGTGAAATGTCTGTAGTAATCATGTCGGATAAGTCTAATGGATTCCCTCCATGGAGTAGTTCTGAATTCTGGCAGGTACCATGGTTAAAAAAGCACTTTGGTTGAACTCCTATGTGTATCAATAGAAGGGCAAAACTGACAGGAACCAAGAAAAAAGATCTCTCGGCAAAAGGGGTCTTTTTAGTAAGATCTATTCCATATCTATTTCCTGAAGCAGTTTGATGAATTAAACTAAAAGCAGTTCTTTGAGGGTGTCTGGGCAGCTCAGTCATTAAGCATCTGCCTTCAGCTCAGGTCATGATCCCAGGGTCCTGGGATGGAGCCCAGCATCGGGCTCTCTGCTCAGCAGGAAGCCTGCTTCTCCCTCTCCCACTCTCCCTGCTTGTGTTCCCTCTCTCTGTGTCTCTGTCAGATAATGAATAAAATCTTTAAAACAAAAACAAAAACAAAAACAGATAGATACAAGAGAACCTCCTCAACCTGATATTAACAAATCTATGAAAAACTAAAAGAGTTAATGGTGAATGACTGAACACTTATTCCCCAATGATTAGGAAAAAAGGCAAGGATGTCCACACTTGCAACTTCCACATTGTACCACATTGTGCTAGCACTGCAAGGGGCCCATAGAAAGAAAGAAAAGGTGTCTGTATTAAAAATGAATAGAACTGTCTTAATTCGAAGATGACACAATTGTTTATGTAGAAAATCCAATGGTATCTACAAAAAAAAAAACAAACCCGTATGAGAACTAATAAGTTCTAGTAAGTGAGTTTAGCAAAGTTGTAAGATAAAAATCAATATAAAGAAATTATTGTACTTCTATATATACAAACAACAAATTAGAAATTTAAATTTAAAAAATAATTATCATTTATAAGTCCCTTTCTCTCAGTGTATACACACACACACACACACACACACACACACCCTATTGATTCTATTTCTCTGGAGAACCCTGACTAATACAGTACTGGTTCCCCCACTGAGTAGAGATAGAACCAACCTTGGTAATACATTTCCTATAATGGTACAGGCGGATCTTTAGTAACTTCCTTCCTCTCTAACATTTCTTCTTGCTTTGTCACTGCACTTTCCAAGTTTCCCATAGATGCTGGGGTTTCTTCCCTGTACACTGGGAATCTAGGACACCCCTGCCCCATCTAGCTGTTCTTCCTCATGTTCACAGACAGATGTGCCCTGCCCTCTGTCAAAACTCCTCATGCCTAGGCATTCCCACAGGGCCATCTGTGGAAGGGACTGGCTTGCTCCTCAAAATCATTTAGATCCTGAAGGGAACTTAAAGAGTCACCAACAAAAATTCTTGTTTTGTAGAAAAGAGAAAGCCAGAGAGGAGGAATTGGCTCAAGGTCACAAATTAGTAAGTGGAGGCCTGAGGCTTGCCATGTCTTTTAACTCCACGTTCAGGCTTTTTTACGTTCATCTAACCTGCGTCCACTCTTAGCTCTTACTATATACCTGGTCGTGTCTTTGATGTTCTAACAAGGACCTTTGATACTCGAGTACTTTTCAGCTCATTAGAACTTGTGTCTATAGCAATCTGGAATATTGGGCTTCTGACTTTGGTGAAGTGTTGATTTCCTACATCTGAACACCAGCTGTCAAGTGCTCCTTGACACGTGTGGGCATCCAAACAATATTCTATTTGAACTAGTGTGTCAGTAAGGCATTGGTACTTAGGTGGAAAACTGCATACACCATCTTTAGCACACCCTTCTGGGTCATCAGATTCTAGCCCTGTTCATCTTCTTTGAGCTAATTTGCAACTCTGTAAATTGTAGGTCATTGATAGCTATGTACACTCTATCTAGTCCTGTGATGATTTTGACTTCCCTCTGTGGAAAATCCAGTTTCATCTCCATTTCCAATTCACCTCAACATTCTCTTAAATTCATTTAAGCTTATGCAGTTTTAAATTTTCCTTGAACCAAGATAATATCTGCTTGATTCCCTCATATCATATAAATAAATTTCTTTAAACACATCCATCTTTATGTCCATATGTGACTCATGATGCTACCCTTCTGGGAATTATCTTTTAACAAGAGGAAGAAAGAAGTACAAAAATCTAGGCTGTAGACATTTGACCCAAAGGAGCACAAACCCGGGGGCAGGTTGAGGCAGGAAGTCATCATACTTAGGTAGACCCACTGCTACCAAGCAATCCTAAAGATCCAGAGGTTCAGAAACATGGCCACTTTTCTACTTAATAACCTCTAAAGTGGAAACACTGGTTAGTAGAATGTTCATGTTAGAGCTTACTAAAAAAGCCAAGCTGTTTCCAAAGTGATCACCCATAAATATCTCACCAGAAGAGCCTAAAAGTCTTGTTGCTCTCTATCCCATGCCAATCCAAGGAATTATCTGTCTTACTGGTTATTGCTAAAGTAAGTATCAAATGATAAATTTAAGTGTGGTTTTAATGTGCATTTCCTTAATTACTAGTGAGGTTGAATTTTCCTTTTGTTTTCACAGAAGTCCTCCGACAATAGACAATACATACAATGAATTTCTTTGCTCTGTGTTCTCCTAATGACTACCCATACTCCTAGAAGGGGAGAGAAGAGAGAAAGAAGAGCAAGAACTAAGAGTTATCTATGTTAGAT